GTTAACTGGGCCTCTGATGAAGGACGGAGGAGAGGGTTTAGGAATAGGAGCTAGTGACACCTGGAGTATTAATGGGCTGTGGTCTGAGGAAAGCTCATCAAGACGCGCAACGGAATGGTTGAGAGCACCTAAACCACTATGGATTAAGAAATCGAGGATATCGGGATTACGGTTAGGATCAGTGGGCCAGTAGGTAGGTGAGTTGGATGGAAGAAGGGTAAAATTTTGGGAATTGAGTACAGACAGCAATGTTCGACCAGGAGAATTCGTGGTTCTTGAACCCCATTGTTGATGCTTGGCGTTTAAGTCTGCACCCAAGATGAAATGACGTCCTAAGGAAATGAGGAAGGAACTAAATTGGGTATTGGAGATGGATTGGTTTGGAGGGCAATACGCTGATGCAACAGTAATAGGAAAGGAGAAGGTTTTGATTACGACTGCGGTGGATTGTAGGAAATCGTGTGTAGGCAGTGGGAGTAGGTGATGGGAGAGGATTGGTGCACAATGACTGCAGTACCGGCATGTGCTCTACCGTCAGGATGGTCGGTACGGTAAGTTATGTATTGTGGTATTTTTAGGAGCTGTTTTTTAGTCAGTCGAGTTTCCGTTATTAGGGCTACATCTACGTTCTTGTCTTGTAGTAAGGCTGTTAGTTGGTGTATGTGATTTCTAACACCATTCGCATTCCAAAGGAGAATGGATATGGGTTTGATGGAAGTCATTTAAGGATTTTTTAAAGGAGGGATAAGGTGAGATACTAGGTTAATGAGAAGTGATATCAGTGGGGTAACAAGGGATTTAAATTCTGAAAGAAAGGATGTCAATAAGCTGGTTAGATCTGTAGCATTAGGCGGTGGAGGAACATATTGGATTTGATGCTGGTGAGGTTGTTGTTGATTAGGTACATTAGGTGGGATAGAATATTGAGATTGGGGTTGAGTTTGTTCTTGCGGCAGGGCCTCACATTCATTAGTCGGGTCTCTAACCCCAAGTAGCTTGGCAAAAGAAACCTTAGAGTTCACAATTTTAGCGGGTCCTCTTCTTGGCTTAGGTGTATCATCAGGGTCCCTGGGTTTCATATATCTCGCTTTAAGATTTTTATAAATTTGGCAGCCTTTGTAGTTGGCTGGATAGCCTTCCAGGCATAGGGCACAGACTGCTGGTTCTGTAATTGGTTTATTACACACGCCAGACTTGTGTGTTTTACCGCATTTCACGCAGCGTGGTAAGTGGTGGCAATAAGACTTGGTGTGGCCATATGCCTGGCAATTATGGCACTGGATGAACTCTCTTTTTGGGTACGGTTTTCCGACCTTTACGCTGGTGTAGAAAATTCTATTCACATCGTATATTTTTTCGATCCCAGGCGATGGCTCTAGATCGACGAAAAATAAGGGCAATGGGATTTTATTCTTTACACCTGGTTGTTCTTTATTTTCTTTTAATAAATTGGTTATCTGACATATTTTGAACCCTAACGCCATTAACTCTTCTTTAATCACTTCTGTTGGGGTTGAGGAGTGTAAATTTCTTATTACAACTCGTAGTGCTCTTTCCTGCTTCAACTGGTATGTGTGAAAGTCCGCGTTTGTGTCTGTTAAATATTTTACGATTTTTCGGTAAGCTTCAGGTGTGGCCGGTATTATTTTTGTATCATTTGTTCTGTTTAGGCATGTATAGCTACCTGGGCAGATTTTATTAAGTTGAGTACACAACAACTGAAAATTTCTCAAATTTTTGACAAAGATAGGAGGTGGGCGTGGTTCTCTGGCTATAGGTGCATAAAATGGAGATTCCATTTCTTGTGAAGACGTACTTGGCAGTAGTTGAGACACAGATACTTGAGTGTTCGCTGGAGGAGTTCCGGGGGGTGTTGATCGCTTACTACGACGTGTTTTCTGTTTAGGCGGTGAATTACGAGGGGTAGAGCCAACTGAATGGGACCTCTTAGTTGACATTACTTGGTGGTAATATCGCATATAAAAAAAAAAGAAAGGGGAAAAAAAATAAATAAATAAAACTACGTCTGCGTGTTCTTATAATGGATGAACCGCTGACTGTGGACCAGTCAGTTACGTGGCTGGGCCACAACTGGAGTGGGGAGCCGTCAGCTGTTATGGCGATAGAGATAAAGCCTATAGTTGCTAAACCACTAAATTCACTGTCTGTAATAGTACACAGTAAATAACAACACTACTCACTGTGGTGTTAGTCCATTGTTGTTGTTTTGATGTCAGCCTAACTAGTTTTTTTTTAAGCCTAACTAGTTTTTTTTTTTTCAAAGTAAAACTGAGCACTTATTCTACTAAAAAATATTAAAACTGTGGGACACGACGTGAAATGTGGGCATTCAAATCAAGCGCATGCGCAGAACTGTGATTTACATTAAATAATATTAGTTTTCAAAAATTATTAATAATAATTTTTTTGCCACTCTCCATTACCTTATACAACTTTCTATATTGGATATTGTTTTTTCTAAAATTCTCTGCTTTTCAACGATATATTATATGTTTACTTTTTGGCTAGTATTCCTGGAGATTCATTTTCGACCTGGATAAGCATTTTTATTTTTTTTCTCCTTTATTCAATTTTCAAGTTCTTCTATAAGTTATATTTAGCATTTTTTTGTAACTCTTAATAATGTGAGATAGTTAATTATCTAAAATAAACCACATTAAAGGTACTTTAGAGGAAGAACCATACGAACATTGGGCATTTAAGCCCTGTAAAGTGACATCAACGGGGATAACACCTAAATGATATTAAAGAACACTTAATTATACAATGATACACCGAGTTTAATCACAATCGTTGGAGCCGTTTTGAGAAAATTGTAAAAATGTGTTTCACTGTTGATATAGAGTGGCGGCACTTCTAGTTAGACGATTTTAACAAAAAAGTTGCTGTCACATCCGGCCCATATACAAACCTTAAATACTTAATATCAGTTTCGTACTACTTTCAGTTTATGAGCTAAACTGTTAACACACACACACACACACAACCATTTTGCGACACTTGGTTATTTGGACTCAGGGTACCAAAAAACGTGTATTTCTGTTGAAAACTCAGATTAAAAAATTTCCACGGTCGCAATACTTACTCTTACTATATATTACATATATACGTAAGTCAAAGTAAAACTCACATATTTAAAAATATAATTTTTTAAATAATTATCTATAAAATAACTTTCATAGGTAATTAATAACTTTTCCCACATTTTTCGAAGTTTTCTCCATTCCGATCCTCAAATTACTGTGCTAAATTCTTTCAATCAGCTGCTCTGGAATGGCAAACAAGGTTTATTTTACTTAAAATAACATTCACTTTCGTTATTTACATTCTAACGTTTGCCTGTGATCCGGTAGATTATTGGGCCCTAGCTCCAGGGCTAGCTAATACAAGTATACACTTAGTTATCAACATTTTATCTTGGAGCCATCTAGTGGTCCTCTAAGCCTACAATAGTACCTTTCATGCCTCTAGGGTTCTTCGAAATGCACTTTTTATATCTTTGTCCAGATTGTACGAATAACAGAACCTATATATGCTCTTATCCCTTACAGATATATTCTTGTAGTAAGTGCTACTAACATTATAATTTTGTCTCTTGCAGTTAAATTCTTCAGTCTGCTTTCAGGCATTCTACAGTTAACTAGGATTTTTTCTATACATATTTATTTTTAATATGTCTAGAAAAGTGTGGAATGCAAGTTGATCTGTAGCGCCATGCTTTGGCATACATCAAACCATAAATTTAATTTGATCATGATATAAAAATTAGTGATTATTTATATTAAAAATTTGTTATCACTAAAAAAGAAACGGCAATATAATATTTTCTTCGTCCAAAAAGTTTTATTCCACCTGTGCCAGCCAAAAATTTGAGTGGAAAAGAATGATTGAAAACTTTAAAAGAAAATCATGTAGAAAAAAAAAAGGAACTTAAATATAGCCAAAAAAGATTTAGTTCGGAGGAGATGGCAGCTGACCTTAACTTTTAGTCATTCGAGCATGCAAAAGTCACAAAATATTCAGTCACTAAGAGGTTAATACTACAAATACAAATGAATAGATATCATAACAGAAATATAAACGAACAGCTAAAATACTAGAAATAATAAATTAATAGCAAACATTTTAGTAGTGTAGAGATAGTTGACCATGATTATGATACGAGGAGTTGGTAGGGTGCTACCGACCAACTGCTTCCAAGCCCTGATGAAGACCTACAACGTGGGTCGAAACGTCTGTGTAAACAATAAAATACTATTCTAGTTTATAGTATTTATTTAACCGCAACCCCCGACCAACTCCTTCTCATAGCAAACATTTTACTTGGAAGTAACAACAGAGTAATCCAATACAGCATGTAAGTATAAATTAACAAGGATGGGAAATTAATAGCAGTAGGACAGTCTTATGCACCAATCTTTATTTAATAAGAGAATGTTATATGGTCCAGAAAAAAATGTTAACATGTGTTTCTCCGAAATTACGTGGTACATATGTCAATTCTATTCAACAACTCCAGGAACAGAAGAGAGTTAAATTTGATTTTACAAAAGTTTAAAAAAATCAGTTGGTAAGTTTTTGCATAACATCATCCAAATCATTTTCTTTTTTAAAAAGTATTTAAAACACTTAAATAATTATTATCTGATTATAAATTAGACCACCCAATAAATTAGACTAGTCAAGGGAATATACTGATAATTAAACAATCAAGTTAATTGTTAAAAATTGGGAAATATTAAAAATCAATTATACAAGGTAAAACTAAACACAGAAACATAAGCTTTCAGAATTCATAAAGCATAAACACAATGACATCTAATTTAATAAGAGGAAAATAATATCATGTATAGCAATTGTAACAGCCAATCAAGGAAATATTAATATTTTTTTCTCCGATCCTTTTACAAAAAATAAATTAAAAACGGAACCTATTATAGATCAATTATTTTATTCAATAACAAATAAACACAACTCACGGAAAACAAAGGGTATGCCTCCTCTAATAGGTCTTCTTCCATCGAATATTGACTGCTTACTAGAAAAAAACACATGATGTTACTCAAATTAATCATCAAGTTATTTTATAATCATAAAGCTCTTAAAAAAATTTTAAAATCACAAAAAAATATTTAGAAAAAAATGTTTGCATTATTAACATATATAATATATTTACAATCTGTACTGACATATGTTATATATAACATATCCATATAAAAGTACGCTTATCATTAATTTAAAAAATGTTAAAACTGAACAAACCTATTTATCTTGAACTTAAATGGGAAATTCATAATTATTTTCAATCAGATATCAAATGTTTAATGTAAACATATTATTGATAACAAATGGTAAAGTAATGTTGGAACAAAGATCTAAGAAACTAAAATTTAATTTATTAATATATGAATACGAAGTGAAAACAATAATGAATTAGGGGTATTCATGCAGTGCTAAGTATTTTAAACCTCTTAAATGGGTCAAATTCGAGAAACCTATTTTAAGATGTCTTAAATAAGGCCCCTAGCACACATGATTTTAACACAGTCTGGAGTCTTGCAGAGTGGTGCTAATTTCCTAAATGCACGGAGGTTATATATAGTGAGGTTTTGATGCTGTTTAATTCTTTATTCATTGTTTGTTTACAATGCCTACCAAAATTAAATGTAAGAAAAGAATGAGAAAGGGATCAGGAAAATGTTGGATAGAGATCTCCTTTTATCTATAATAGGAGAAAATTCGATTAAGTTTGAGGTGAGTAATTTTATTATTTCAATTATTTATTCTTTATACTTTATAAAATAAAGCAAAATGGTATGTGTGTGTGTGTGTGATTGTATTCCTCCTATTCCACCATTGAGGAGTTGGAAGAACATAGTATTCTGAATCAATCTGGAACATTTTATAAAAAGTTTAATGGATGAAAAGCATCATTTAAATCATGAGTCAAGGCATAAAGCAGGGAGGTTGGATCTATGATCACAAAACAGCATGATAAAAATGGCCTGATGGTATAGTCATTTAGATAAGCTCTTAAACGATGATGCGGGAAATCCACATGATTTTGTGATCCCAAGTAGCGAGAATGATGAACACCCCCCAGATCCACCGACATATGATGACTTTATTGAGGCTGTAAATGGCCTGAACAACAATAAAGCTCCAGGGGAGGACGGAATTTTTGCTGAACTTCTGCAGTAAGGTGAAGAATTAAAAAAAATCTGGTGCGTGCAACACACAACTTTCACTTACTGATCTACTTTGAATAGAAATATTTTCTGGCAATGTTAGGCTATTATAATTTTTTTTTTAAGTGCATTTTAAACGGAGCTAAAGCTTAAAGCTTACAGATAACAAGTAATTAAGACCATTAAAATTACAAAATGTCTATTTAATATATCGACGACAGGCAATAAAAATCTAGTCACTCCATCTGCTTTTATAAATCACTCAACTTTCTTTGCTTTTATAAACCACAGAATGACTAACTCCAATTTCAACATTTTTGAGTGATGTCATTTAAGTGATATTTTTAGTTAAAAAGTTATCTATGCAGACAATGAGTAAGTTGATTCCGGAGGTGGTGATTGCAGCGTTGAAATATAGAACTGAGAATAAAGGTATACATTTAGGTACTTATTTCTTATGAAAGATGTTCTTAGGAAAGATACTTTATTAAATATCTGTAGAAAAAAGGTGTTTAAGAAAAAAACTAGAGGCCATATCTTTCCTCCTAATTATCTGATTTTAACAATTCTTTTTTGTTTTTTTTAGGAAATTCCATCAACTTTTAAAAAATCATAATACAATATCAACAAAAAAGCGTATACTTTTTGAGTTATTCTGAATTTAATTTTACCATCCCTCGTAACTTTTTTTCTAGCTTCTTTTCGTTGAAGTATGTTATATAAATAAATTTAAAGGTGTCGAGAAAATGACTTTAGCGAAGTTTCATAGAAATCGATACATTTGTTTAGGCGCTACAGTCTATAACAACGCAGGTTTTTCTGCATTTTTATTTATTTTTCTCCTTTATTAACTTATCAAATTCTTTCAAAAGTTATATGTAGCATTTTTTTTATAACTCTGAATAATGCAAAATGATTAACTTTTTAAAATAAACCATATTAAAGGTACTTTAGAGGAAGACATATATGAACATTGGGCATTTAAGCCCTGTAAAGTTAGTCAGACTGATTAAAAAGTTAGCTGTGATCTTATCTGATTTATATCAGATATGATGACTATTTACATCTATACCTATCTTTACATCTATTCAACTACCATTCAAATATTTTTGAAAATTACCATTTTAGAGAGTTAGTAAAAGATAGGCAAAATTCAAAACAATCCCAGCCAAAGTCGAGACGAATATACCGCAGCTAACGTGTTAGTAGCACAGTTCAGCTGTTGAGACACACAGATAACTTTGACTTAGCTGCAAGATCCGAAGTATCCTCCAAAGAGACAGTCCTTACTCTTGAAGAATTTTTATTTTTATTTTTTATTTATTCATGATATTTACAACTGTATTAAAAAATTAAATACATTAAGTAAATTTGATAACAGAAAATAAAAACATGAAATGACTTGTTGAGAAACTACCCACTGGTAGCACTCTAAAAACAAAATGTATTTACAATAAGAGATCTCGAGGCCATCTTCTTTTCAGACGCCTCGGAGGGTTATCAGGAATAGAAGAGGAAGCAAGGTTAGAGACAAGAGGATTCGGATGGTTCTGAAGTTTATTATGGAAGGATTGGTATCTGGATTGGGCCAAATCGGAAACATAAGGAACATTAAGGTCATTATGGATTATTTTATTGGTGACAAAGTAAGGAGCATTGAGGATTTTCCGAAGGATTTTGGATTGTAAGGATTGGATACGAGAGGAATTCGATGGCTTAGTGGAGCCCCAAAGCTCAACTCCGTAAGTCCAAATAGGTCTTATTGTAGTCATGTATATAAGTCTTTTGTAATTAACTGGAAGCTTAGAGCGTTTGTCTAGTAAATGTTGGAGTAGTCGGAAACGTCGAGCGGTTTCTTGTCGTTTCAGTCTGGTATGAGGATTCCAAGTTAGACGTTTGTCCAAGTGAAGTCCAAGGTATAGGATTTGTTCAACAGGGATAAGTGGGGTATTATTAAAGGATACCGTGGGACATGAGGTCATAGGTTTACGTCGAAGGGTAAAGGTGATTTGATGGGTGATAAATTCTATTAGAATTTATTTTAATCCTCCAGTTTTGACACCATTCTTCAAGGCTTGTGATGTGCGATTGAAGAGTTTGGGATGCAATGGTTGCGTCATTATTAACGGATAGGACACATGTATCATCAGCATACGTGGTAATAACAGTGTTAGGATGGGTTGGGATGTCAGCTGTATAAACTGTGTAAAGGATAGGACCAAGGATACTACCTTGAGGAACACCAGCGGACTGGGAAAAGAGGGATGAATAAGCATTATTGTGATTGACTTTTGAGTATCTATCAGTTAGATAGGAACGGATAATGAGGAAGTATGTAGGATGTAGGAATTTACGGAGTTTGTAAAGTAGTCCCAGGTGCCAGACTCGATCAAAAGCCTGTTCTACATCGAGAAAGACTCCCGTGCAGTACATTCTGCGCTCTAATGCAGAGGAGACAACATCCACCACACGATGGCATAGCTGGATAGTGGAATGGGATCTGCGGAATCCAAACTGGTGATCTGGGATTATGTGATTAGAATCTAGGATTGGGTACAGGCGTTTTAGGATGAGTTTTTCTAGGACTTTTCCCATGATGGGTAAAAGAGAGATAGGACGGTAAGAGGATGGGTATTCTGGTGGATTTTTGGCTTTATGTATCATTTTGATAATGGATAGTTTCCAAGGGTCGGGAAAATATGTTGATCGGAGTACAGCATTATATATATATGTAAGGAATAGAATGGCTTTCCGAGGAAGTAGTTTTGGGATCTGGGATGTAATTAGGTCGTGTCCAGAAGCTTTGTGGGAAGGTAACCTGTTAATGATGTTGGATATTTCTGAAGGATGAAAGGCTTTAGGAGGTGGAGTCGGGATGTGGATATCAGGTTTTAAAGAGGTGGTGAGCAAATATTTGGGATTTTTCTTCGTCGGATTTGGACCAGGTTTGGGCTTCAGTGAGCAGTGGATGGTTGCAGTCTTTAAATTTCAGGAGCCTTTTAGTGGTCGTCCATAGTGATTTATCGGTAGGTGTTAGTTTTTCAGTAAAATTTATTAAATTTTGAATTTTGTATTTTTTAATTTCTGATTTCAGTTTGTTAGTCAGTTGGGTGTAATGCGCTTTATCTGTCGGGTATCTAGTTCGATACCACTTCGATCTTGCTCTGCGTTTTTCCTTTAATAAGATGCGAATATGCTGTCAAGTTAGTATTTTGTGGGTTGTTAATCTTATTGATAAAGGTGTTATTATTTATACTGTCTGTTATTGATGATGTCAATTTTCTCTTGAAGAATAAACAAGAAAACTTGGTTTGGCTATCAATGAAGCCCCTTGAAGTTGAAATAAAAGTTCCAAAAAGCAGCTATTTAAATAAAACAGAAATATAAGAAAATTTCATCCTCTAAGACGAATAATCTGTGATATAAAAAAGATATTAAAAGAAAAGAGAAATAAAGGAAAAATTCATCCTCATAGACGAATTTTTGCGAAAAAAGTTTTTTTCGAGACTAGCACTGGTGATTTATCCCAAGGGGCCTAGCTCCCCTCTGGATGGTGGAAAAATAATTCTGAAAAAAAAGTTCCAAAAAAACAGCTATTTAAAGAAAAGAGAAATATAGGAAAAAATCATGCTCCTAGATGAATTTCCTAATGTAATATAAAAATAAAATTTAAATAAAAGAGAAATATAGGGAGAATTCATCTTCATGAACAAATTTTCTAATGTAATATTTAAAAAAATTATAATCATGGCCATTTTTATGAATCTTATGGTTTGTCATTTTACATCATCTCACCAGGCTGTGGATCAACTTGCGCCCGCCTATGACGCACGTGAGATTTTGTGAAACAAAGAATAGAATGTAAGAGTAAAAGTTGGCTTTTAGGGTAAAATGATGTAGTTTTTGGGGCGCCGTGAGCAGCGAAGGCTTGTGCTCCAGTTGTAAATCCTACTGAGTCTCGAAGGTGAAAAAATAAATAGTGAAGGAAAATTAATAAAAAAATGAACTTTAATTATTCTTTCGAACAACCTTTTGTTCATTCGAGCACAAGGAAATACGGTTTTTCTCCCAGACCCAGTTTTTATTCCAGTTCTAATAGATCTGGACGCATTGCAACCTCCAGTAACTATAGTCTCCTTGATGAATCCATGCAAAATCCATAAAACTGGTCACGATAATAATTTGTATACTTATATTCTCATACGTAGAGGGAAATATTTAAAGGAGTGATAGCAGAACACAAGAACTACCAACAAGTTTATATAAAAAATGGTTCGATTTTCAACAGGAAAGTAATTAATTAAATTAAATTAAAGTTTTGAGATGTCACATTTTTTGTTGAATATGAAAATATAATTACAAAACTATTTAATTTAAGTAATTAACGATTGCTTCACTATAAACTAGACAAAACTTACTTAAAGATAAAAATACAGTTGGCTTTTGTTAAAACCATTTAAAGAGGACTTTATAGTAGCTAAACTCAGCTAAGGTGTTGGGGGAGATGGGTAGTGGTGGGGAAAGCACCTGGTATAGAGGTGTGTTCCCCTGAGAAAATTCCTGGATCCGCCATTGACAGGAGGAGTAGGGGCGGTAGCTAGTTTGTTTGAAATCGATCCCTAAACATTTAAAACTGTACGAAGTTTTCACGACAAGTGGAGAGTTGGTCGACCTAATTTAAAAAGGGTGGACTTTGTTGCTGCGGAGATGCGGGTCCTTCATGAAACCAGAAGAGCTGCTGCAAAAAAATGAAACAACTGGCGAAGGCTTTTAGAGGTGGCTCAGACTCAGTGAAAGGTCGCAGTGCCCACTATGATGATGATGTCTCATTATCTATCCATAATATAAATTATATATGATAAGAGGGCCAACATACAAACTACACAAACATCTTGACAAACAACCAAGTCTGTTGACGAAAAAAAAATTGTAATTTCAGTTCCAAAACTTATGATTCAGTGTTTCGTAACCTTCCAGGATTTTCAACCTTCTGTTTGAATCAAACAGGTTGTCTTTAATATCAAAGTAAATCCCTGATGGATTCTACCAACGGAATTACCATTTAATATAAAAACTAGCCACAACTAAGCAATAATCTCACTTAATTCTACTGTAACCATCTTTGATAAACCAATATATAACTTATGGAAAAAACAGCCAATTCAAAACCAACTGATTCAGAACAGAAACTATGGAATTTATTTTTTACCAAATCCATTTATCTTCTAACAAACATAACCCAAAACCCTTGTATAAATTGATGGAAGTTGAAGTGATAGGAACAAAATAATACTAACCATATTAGTATTCCATCTGTCTTACTAAAGCCATTATGATTAAAAAGTATTCAACCAAACCAGAACTTAGGGCTTTAATTAACATTTAATCCTATCAATCACACCAGCTATTTATGCACCAACAAAAACTAACGTCTGACTTTTCCAAACATAACTAACAATTCCAACATTAAAATAACCACTTAACACATATCAAACGCCTGTAATTAAGGAATAGGCAGTTTAAATAATTTTATTACCTGTAGATATTAATGTTCAAATAACTAACTTACCTGACAAATATTTGCTCTTGATTATTTACTCTCCAAGAAACAACTGTTGCTCCTGTAATTAAAGAAATCATATAAAGATATTCAAATTATGTTATTTACAGAAGAAATGAAAATAAATCTAAAATGATTACCATGCTTCCAATATTACGTTTATTTATACCATTTAAAATATATAATACATGAAGGAAAACATATAACAAAAGATTTACTAGAGAATTTTTAAAAAAACTTGATATGCCGGCAGCTTTACACAAACACAGCAGGGAGTAAAAGTACAAAGCTTATAAGTTTAAAGTAACATCAAATCGAAGCATCATAAGTTTTATAATAAACTAAACAATAAATTTTAATATTACCATGCAAATTGACGGTACATGTAGTATTATTTCCCCGGTCCAGAACAACAACACTTGTGGGAGCTGCCATTATACAGTTAGGAGAACGAAGTACTTTTTTTTCTACACAGTTTGGTTAACAAAAGGTATTTTTTATGCTCAAAGTCCTTAATTTGTATAATAAAATCACGCTCCCAGTCATACTAATATCACAACAGAAAAAAATATTATTTTCAACAAAACGAATTTTGGTGTAAAGTACGCCTATATTAAGAATCGAGTTTAAATGCCAAATCCAAATCTCTGCATCGAAAAAAACGTTAATCAACACTTACTAAGATTAAGTAAAATTTTAAATTAATTATTTTTTCCTTATAATTTTTAAGTAGTTTGTTTGTTTGTTTTATATATATATATATATATATATATATATATATATATATATATATATATATATATATATATATATATATTCTAGTATATATTCTTATATATATATATATACTTTATTTCTTTCCAAGCTGAAAACAAAATTGTGAAAAATATTCTGGTTTCTCAAGAAACTGGTTATATTGGAAAGAAAAAGTAAGAAGACTATTTGCAAATTTTATTATTAACAGCTACATGCAATGAAGATTCCATTATATTGTGTAAATTATAATGGTATATTGATGACAACTCAATAGTGACAGGATATTATAGCAGATACCAGATTGCCAGATAGAGGTGTCCAACAAAGTGATGGGGTACTCGCATTTCTGCTTTTTAATATAGCTTTAGAAGAAGTCATACATTACCACTAACGGATCCAAGATTTAATATTTGTGGGTGTTATAGAGTAATAGAGATAAATAAGGAATACCTTGAAACATAAAGGCTTTATTAAACTGAATTCAATACATAATAATGAGATTAATTTAATTAATAAGGTTAAGCAACTAAGATATGTTTTTAGCAACAATTAATAACTAAATCATAATATATCACTTAGCCCCTCCCTATTTAAAAAAACAAACATGAAAATGAAACATAAACTAATAAACAAGTAGTCCTTCAAGTAGGAAGGAACTTACCGAATTCTAGAACTTCTACTTAGGAATTCAGGAGGCTCGCAAGTCTCGTCTGCGTTTTCTAAAAGTTCTTTGCAGACAGTGTCGTGAACCTCTTCGCCAGGGATTGAAACAGCTGTGTCCCAGAGATGTTAGTTAGATCTCCTTAATTGCGTGGTTATATTATTGAGCCTGGAGGTGCCAGAAGTCTATTACGTACTGATGTCTTGGGCAATCTCACAAAAGAGTATTGGGGATTCCCTTCAATTCCTTCTTCTACGAGTACCACTTCTTCAACGAGAGAGCCATACTTTGAATGTCTCATCGTTTTCAACAATAAAACAGAGCCGGAGTTTAATAGCCAAGAGGGTATAGTTATTACATTGTAAGACCTTCGAGAAAAATTAATGAATTTTTCATGTGGGTTGGCATTCGTCGCAGTACATAGCAGAGATCTGATAGAGTGTAGGGGCACATTTGGGACACTTCCCCATCTTGTTAAATCAAGTTCTCGATTCATTAACGCAAACACTATTGTCTTCTGTACAATGCCAACATATCGTTCCGCCTTCCCATTGCCTTGCGAGTTGTTGGGAGTTGTCCTACTAGAAGATATTCCTAACTCAAACAGTGAAGATTTCAGTTCTGCCGACATGAAGCTAGAGCCCTAATCAGAATGAATGGATGATGGGAAACCGAAAAGAAGAGAAGAGGTCCTTAAGCTTAGATATGACTGCCCCAGCTGATTTTTCAGAGCAAGGAAAAGCAAATGGAAATCGAGAGAATTCGTCAATGAAAACAAGTAGATACCGGTTTCGCAACACAGATAGCAATGGTCCCTTGAGTCTTATGTCTCCAGTATGACAGATATCTTCGTGCATCGATACTAGTTTTGTGATGTGCCCTCTAACGGAAAAGCAAATCCTAGAAAGCGCGTCTGGAACTCTATTTTATTTTCCTGGACGGTAAAAAATTTCAAAATTATAACAAGAGAGCGCTAATTGCCATCTCATATTTTATTTTACCAGCATTGTTGTGAAATATGAAAGATATATATCTCTGATCCGTAATAAGAAGAAAACGTTTTCTAATCCTAAAAGATAGTGCTTCCATTTATTCAAGGCTTCGACTATAGCACAGGCTCCCTTTTCTATGGATGTGTGACGTTTCTGAGATTTTGATAAAGAACGTGATAAGAATGCAATTGGGCGGCCATTTTGTGAGAGTAGCGCTCCTATAGCAAAATCGGAAGCATCTGTTTCGTCGGTCAAAGTTTCAGAATAATTGAAGAAAGAAAGCATTCTGAGTATCCCTTTTTATTTCTTCAAAAACATTGACAGCTTCAGTACTGAAATTCGCTTTATAAGCTATGACCTGGATATTATCTGTGAAATTTGAGCATGATGTGAGAACCTGCCAAGGGCCCTACACAAAGAAGATGAATTTACTAGAATCGGGAGATTTTTTAAATGTTCAAGGAGATCAGGGTCTGGTTGGATAGATTTATGACTAATCACGTAACCTATAAGATGGATCGATGGATATAAGATGGATCGAGTAAAGTCAATTTTTTTTCAAGTCGTTTAAACTAAAGTTAAAAATGAAGTATCGGTTGTAAATAATCTGCCAACAATAACGAAAAAAAAAAAAGATCTGAGATAAAACATCTGGAAAGTACATATTTCTTTCTAAAACAGGTATCACTTATTAAAATGGCTTTCCGAGGAAGCAGTTTTAGGATCTGGGATGTAATTAGGTCGTGTCCAGGACCTTTTCGAGTAGGTAACCTTTGAATGATATTGGATATTTCTGAAGGATGAAAGGTTTTAGGTGGAAGAGACATCTGGAGTGGGATATACAGTTCTGCTTCAACACATTCAAGGTGATTTGGGTTAAGACTATCGGGGTGTGGATTAAAGGTTTTAAAGAGACGTTGAGCAAAGATTTGAGATTTTTCTTCATCGGATTTGGACCAGGTTTGAGCTTCAGTAAGAAGTGAATGATTACAGTGTTTAAATTTCAGAAGCCTTTTAGTGGTCGTCCATAATGATTTGTCGATAGGTGTAAGTTTTTCAGTAAAATTTAGTAAATTTTGAATTTTGTATTTTCAAATTTCAGATTTTAGTCTGTTAGTCAGTTGGGTGTAATGAGTTTTATCTTTTGGATACCTGGTGCTATGCCAATTCGATCTTGCTCTGCGTTTTTCCTTTAATAAGATACGAATATGCTGTGGCAAATTAGTCTTTTGAGAATTGTCAATATTACTAATGAAGGTGTTATTATTTATACTGTCTGTTATTGATGTTGTAAGTTGTTCAATGGCACCATTAATGTCCACTTTTGTCTTTTGCAGAATTTTTAAGTCTAGTTTGTTTTCCAAATCATCACGAAATTTGTTCCAGTTTACTCGTACTGTAATAAATTTAGGAGGTGATGATTTAGGAGCATAGCTTGGATCTAGTGAAAGCATAACTGGACTATGGCCTGAAGAAATGTCATCAAGGGATTTGATTGTGTTTAGTGAGGAGGAGATCTGGGTAGTGATAAATATATCTAGGATATCGGGACGTTTTTTGAGTGATGTTGGCCAATAAGTAGGATTCATGAGCGAAACGATTGAAAAATTGTTGGAAGATGAAACACGTGCTAGGATGTTACGGCAGGAGTTGGATGTTCGACAACCTTATCGTTGGTGTTTAGCATTGTAGTCTCCTCCAGCAATGAATCGCGATCCGAGGGATTGGAATAAGGAATAAAGGAGGTTATGGGAGAGAGAATTACCAGGAGGACAGTATACAGCTGAGAATGTGAGATGGAAAGGGCGAGTTGAAAGGACTACAGAAGTTGATTGAATGGCATCAGTTGAAGTGGAAGGAATAAGGGAATGATTTATGTATAAGGATGCAAGAACCGGCATGAGAGGTGTTGTCTGGGTGATCAGTTCTATAAGTGAAGTAGCCACGTATGTAGAAATGTAAACGGATACTAAAGTGAGTTTCAGTCAGTAGAGCAATATATCAATGTGATTATCACGAAGAAATAAGGCAAGTTCGTCACGGTGGTTATGTAGTCCGTTAGCATTCGATAAAAGGATAGTTAGGGGCTTTGTGCTCATCGTGGGAAAACTGAACGGAATTTCGGTCAGGATTCTGGTGAGAATAGTGATAAGTGGTTTTATAGTGTTTTAGAGGTCTAATAGAAAGGATGGTAGAATGGAAGTTATGTCAGATGGATGTTGATTGTGAATTGGATTAAGGATAGGTTCTTGTGGTGGATTAGAAGTGTTAGCTGAGGGCGGGATCCGTCGTTGTGCACGAGGTGGGTCTAGATTGAAAGGTACTTGTGCTGCAGTTTTTTTTCGGGGCGTTAGGATGAGACTGTTGAGGATGCTGCTGCGGTATTTTGACTCGTAAGGGCAAATGATGAGGGAGAGTTTGCTGACTTGGAAGATGAGATTGGGGATTTGGAGAATGAGATTTGCATTGGGAGATCTGAGGCACCTGAATTTGAGGCTGCTGCTTCTTGATGGTGATTTGTGTTTTTCTAAAGTCCTGATGAGGTTGATCAATTTCTTTTGAAGTAGACGCTAGCTATATATTTTGAGTAGACATTTTTGGCAATTCTGGAAAATTTGACGGATTATCAATTTCAGGTAGATGGGTGAAACTTTCTTGGTTCTATTTTACGCTTTTCGAGGCTATGTTCTGAGCTCTCTGCTTATAAAAATGTTTATAAACTTTGCATCCTTTGTAGTTTGCTGGGTGTTCTTCATCACAAAGGGAACATTTCGCAGGCTGGTCTCGAGGTCTCTGACAAGTTTCAGATGCGTCAGATGCTACCTGGCCTGGTGATGGCAATAGGCCTTTGTATACCCCATGTCTTGGCACTTAGTGCATTGCACTATTATAGGCTTTTGTCTATGCTCTTCAAATTTAATGGTGGAATGTATAAGCGTCTTCACTTAAAAAATGTCGATGTTATTGCTGGCAGGCTCTAAATCGACGAAAAATAGCTGTAAAGGATATTTTTCCGTTGGGTGTAGTACGCATGATATGTGCCTAACATCGTGAACTATTTCTTCTAAGTCACTTATGATAAAAGATATAGGGGTGCTTGAGTGTAGTCCTCTCAACATCACTCGGTATGGCTTTTCTTGTCTTAACTGATAGCAATGAAAATCATAGTTTTTGGACGTAAAGTAATTGATCAGTGTTTTGTAATTTTCTCGAGAGTTTGTGT